AACTATTATTCAATATTTTTAACTAATCGGCTGTCCTCATACTCCGTCCGGTATGAACGCTAAAAATATCATCTCTCAATACTCCGTTCGGTATGAGGGTGAAACGGACCATACCCATACCCCGTCCGATACAAGTGCCAAAATATCAATTTTTGATACCTCGTCCAGTATGAAGCAATGTTCACGGTATGGTTCCTTATGTGCACGGTCCGTCCAGCATCCCTCAGAATATGCAGTAAGGCTACCATCCATTCATTCAATAAATCAGGTAATTTTTCGTTTATATTTAATTTTTAGTTTTACAATTTAATTGTAAATTACACAAAACAAGCAATACATGCATAAAAAAAATACAGTCGAGTCATCTTACCAATTCTAATATATAATCATATATTTAAAACTGTAAGATCTAACAATCAGTTAAAACAGGATAAACAGTAATAAATATCCAGTTCTGACTCCATTAGTAACCTGTAATTAATTAAACTTCAATTCCATAACAGAAAATAAAGTGAATGATTCTTACTCGAATCGGTATTCAAAATACTAAACTTCCAGCTACGCCTACTAGCGGTCCCCAGGTTTCTTAAATTTTTATTTGCAAATTAAAACACGCTTCAAATACCTAAAAATATTCCAGAAAATCCAAAATCTGTATTAGAAACCCTTTCTGGCTAATTTCAGAATTCTAGCACGGTGACGTCGTCGTGCTCCAGCAACGACATCGCTTTCTGCGGCAGCGGTTTACCTCGAACTAGCCGTTTTCGATCAGTTTTGGTCAATTTCGGCCGGTTTGATACTCATCCATGTGAGAAAACACGTTAAAGGGTCTCGGTTGGGTCAAAAAAATCGAAAAACAAAAACTCACTAGCGGCGGAATTTTCTGGTGCAGCAGCTCTGCCGACTCACTTTCGCAGTTTAGCGTTTTGCTTCGGTCAACCTGTCGAAAAAGGAATGATGATTACAATGGTGGAACAAATCATACAAAACGGGAATCAGAAAAGGGCTCATCAGATACTGTTTTTGGTTTTTTCGGCAGTGAACTTTATCTGCAATTTTCGACTCATCCACCAGTCTTTTTGCTCTGATTTGACCATGGGGGTGTTCAAAATCAAATTTCGAGTAAATAATTTTTTTTTTACCTTTTTAGCGGTCGGAGGTGGCTCCAATGCGATTGCAGGCGGCGGTCGACTCCCTTCCCGGCGACTGGTTCTTTTTCTCTGGCGGGTAGAGGGAAATGGGGGGCTGGTGGCTAGGATTAGGATTTGGTGTAAAATGAGGTATTTATATCCGTCTCCCTTTAATCTAAACCGTCCGATTGCATTTAATGAGAAAATGAATTTGGACCGTCCATCGCGTTTGATCTCAACCGTCCGATCGCATTTAATGAGAAAATGAATTTGAACCGTTCATCGCGATTTGATCTATATAGTACAATCGCGTTTAAAGAGAAAATAAATCTGAACCGTTCATCGCGTTTAATCGCGACTATCCGATCGCGCCTGGAGAGGGAACGGATCTGGACCGTCAAAATGCGGGGGAGTAAATTCGGACCATTCGATCGCGGACACGCGGATCGCCAGCGTAGCCTGCCGCGTGTCGCTGCGTCAACATGCCTTGCCACGCAACGCGCTTTGGTTCGTGGAGGTTGCTTACTAGACAGTTCTACGTGACACATTTTTTTTAAATTACGTTTTGACCTCAAATTTCTGATTTTTCTTTTAAAAATACTTGCAGAATTCAAATTTTCACATTTTTTTAAAAAAATTATTTTTAATTTCGTTCTCTACCTTTTTTTTTTAATTTTTTACATTAAATAAAAATTTTAAATTTAAAAATTATATTTTACATATTAATTTTTAATTTTTAAAATTAATTTCGGATATTACAAATATTAATTTTAAATAAGTATTATCTAATTTTTGAAATAAATATTGTTAATAATAAATTACTATTATAATTTTACTTTCAAATTCAATTTAATTAATTAATTAAAAATATTATTCACTGTGGAACAATACAAATCACTTTTTAGAAAGTATCCACTGTATTTTTTTTAAATTTTACAATCATAAATTTAAGTCCAGGCCGGCAATGCCGGCTGCCGAATGTGCTCCGCAAATAAAATAAAAACAATCAGATTCACAGACAATGAGAAAAAGACAAATAAAGAAACATGATAATAACTCCAAACCAAACAAAACATCTGCAAAAATTGGAAGAATTTTTTTGCCGAGAGTAAGAGAAATGGGTGGCGTTCAGAGATCGGTAGTAACAGTAACTGGATTGATTTTGCTGGTCGTAAGTTCTGCGAAAAGTGTTCCCAATACAAGCATCATAAGTGTCCTCTGCAATTCAGGGGTGTATTCTAATGGCGACCCTTTTGCCACGAGTTTAGCTTACGTTCTTGATGAGTTACAGACCCAGACGCCAACCCAAAAAGACTACGATTACTTCAACATCTCGCCATACCCTAATGCATTTGCTTACGGCCACGCAGCTTGTAACAAGAACCTAACAAGTTCAGATTGCGGCACCTGTCTTGGCTCCGCCGGAGCAGCCATGTTATCCACCTGCCGAGCACGGATAGGCGCTCGGGCCGTGCTCCGTGATTGCGCTATTCGGTATGAGCAATATCCCTTCACTGACTAAACGCATAACAGCGCTAGACTTGACTAGGTCTAATTCAATAAGCTTGTGTTTCATCTATGGCTGTCTGCAAATTTATCATCTGTTTCTGCACTCCAATTTTTTTTTTTCTACTGCTTCTTGGGTAATTATTTTCTTTGTTTTAAATTTTCTTAGGTGTTTCGTATAATAAATTTGAATATTTATTTTTAAAATTTTTCTATTTGGTGGATGTTTTTATATTTAATTATAATTATGAATTAAATTTAATTATGGGTATATATATTTAAAATTTTTAGAATTATGTTAGTGTGAATATATATATGTAACTATATACTTAAAAGATTTTTTAAAAAATGTTACTTTTTTTATTAATTTTCTATTTTTTTTCTCTAATTTTTAATAAATTATTATCTTAAATTAGTTTATTTCTTAAAATTTTTCTCAATATTACGTATAAAATTATCTTATATTATCTTGAAGTTAATTAAGATAAATGGAAGATTGGAACATTAAAATTCACTATGAAATTCTATTAAATAATAAATTAAATAGATTAATCAAAAAATATTTAACCTATTACTTATACATTAGTATGTAAGTAATATCAATGTTAACAGAGTAATAAAATGCAGGGCACGTCCAATTTATCTCTTCACCTCATCTTTCATATTCTTCTTGTATATTATGCAGTAATACTCAATTTTATAGATGTAAAATAATTATTACAAACAAATATATATATATTTATATGTATATTTACCACCTTTTGAAAAAAAAAAAAAAAAAAAAAAGTATGTATGAGTTTACCATGTTTATGTCGAGGTGACATCAACTATGGAGCTCGAACTGGAATGGCGTAGGGACTCCCACTTGAGAAACATAGCATAAAGGAGTTCGTTCCAGGCATCTGGGACACCCGGCAAGCACCAATGGCTGCAATCTTGACGGTGAGAAGCAACTTCTCCAATGACGGCCGGTTGGTAGTAAATTGATGTATGACCATCTTTTCTCTGTAAACTCATGTTCGTCACCTTCAACAACTTGATCATCATCTCATGACTCTCTGATTTTCTCGATATCACCCCAGACACTATCTCTACTTGCCGATCTCTTGATTTCTTCAGACCCAAATCTGGTACTTTTAAAAGCTTACAGCTACCTCCATTCTTCCACGTTCCGTCTCTGAAATGTGCTGGAGCCAGTGTTCGAAATAGAACCAAGGTCTTCGTCTTGTTTATTTTCTTCTCAACGAAATCCATTAATGTTTCCATTGTTTTCTGAAATGCAGTTTCAAGGCTCATGTTCATCTTCACTTCTGATCCTTCCTGGAAATAGCAACCCCTGATTGATAAACACAAAACTCATAATCAGTTTAATGAACTGAAACTTCTTATGGTCGTATATATACATATATAAACATATATATGCGTGTATAACCTTTTTGTGGTCTTTTCGTCGGTCCACCAATTGCCTGTGTTGAAAATGAGTAGATCTGCGTGTTTCCATTGCCGGAAACCAGAGGCCAAAATGTCCACCCTCAAAGTCGTCTTTACTTGTTCCGAAGCTCCCTTTGGCGGGGAGCCCTGGTAGGCTAAAAATGGTGCTCGGTAGTACTCGATCAGACAGTTGTAATCTTTGAACATAAACACCAAATAGCCTTTGTGCTTTGTGATTGGATTCCCGTTCATTTCGTAGATTGAATTCTTGTTAGCCACCCCAGAAGCCAGCATGCATAGCAATGATTCCCACTGGTTCCGCCCGATCGAGTCACCCACAAACACCACTCGCCTCCCTCGCAGCTTGTCCAGCATCTCGCTTGAGTTGAATCTATATATTATTTAGATCAGACAAAAAGAAACTACAGTAAAAGTTTCAGAAAAATTCAAAGGAAAATAAATTGAATCAACCTGGGCAAATCACAATCTTTAGGTTGCCAACGCCATTTGCTGTAAAAATGATCAGGTCTACCATTTTCAGTACATCGGAAACCAACGTCCATGAATGGACAATCCTCGCTCTGGTATAACGGATGGTTATTACTCCATAACCAGTTCCCATCAAACAGATCACAATGATCACCACTTTGATCGAGAAACCCTGGCCGTCGATTCGAACTCAACGCAGCTTCTATAGCTGCCGTTGTTGACGAAATTGATGAGCCACAGGATGAGAAGTCTGAGTGTCGGATTCCTCGAAAGATACCAGTGTAACCCAAGAAAAAGAAAGAGGCGATGAAAAGAGCTATGATCAAAGGGAAGCCGACAATGTTATGCAGAGTATTATTATTTGAATACTTGAATTTCTTAAACAAATCCATCTGGGTTGCCATGTCCGATGGCTCTTTTGTACAGTGATGATCTACCATGTTGTTAATCATTTGTTTCTGAACCTCAACTCAATGAGAATTGTGTTAAATCTATATTATTGGTAACTGGACATCACCATTTTTCTGTTCTTTTCTTTAATAAGGCAGAGTCTTAACATCTAACTTAATTATATTGTGTATGATGATAACTGAAAATGTATAGACTATACAAATCATCATACATATGTTTAACGAGAAGAGAAATTTTTCATTCATCAATTCTTATTTCTCTTTTTGGAAACTCTTTTTACATTCAAAGAAACAAAAGGAATCCATTGATGAAATGGACCCTTTTGTTGAAGAAACACATGGGCAACAGAAAGACATCTAAACTAATTGACATCCATGAGTGAATGGATAATCAAGTAATTGAGAGTTCAATTCGTTTAAAAATTATTCTGTGGATAGTGAACGTTGTAATGATAATTGGTTTGTTTATTAAACTTTCTTTTAATTCCTAAAATTTCGTAACAGAAAAGCTACCTGCAACAGCTTGTGTTGAATTGAAAATTTGGCTTCTGGGCCGCTCAGAATTGCTACTAAGAGTGGGAGAATTTCTGCAGTTCTCACTTTTTCTGGTACCTTCCCCTCTCCATCTTCCTGTGGCTTCGAGGATCTGCCCTTCCTCAGCCGCCGTATCAACCTCTGCTTCATCGTCGGCGAAAACTCTTCTGTGCAGATAGCAGTTTCTCTCTCTCTCTCCCCACGCCTTCTTTTAAATTGAAAACGAATCCCTAACTTTTCGCCCGCTGCTCCGACTTGGCCGCAGCGCTGCCTTTGGCCTCGAGAATCTGCCATTCATTAACCGCTGTCAACATCCGCGAAGACTCCTCTGCTTCAGTCACACCTTCTGCTGCCTGAGGTTAGTCCTCGAATGTTCGTTTCTTATTGTGTAATAGCATAGAATTAGAAGAGTGGAAGAGAAGAAAACATTTGATGGAAGTTTTGGTGCCCGAGTGAATGGTTTTTTTAACATATTTCACGGCGCAGAGAGAACCTGGAACAGCTTTGCCAATGCTCTGCGCTGTCAATATGTATATATGTGTGTCTGTACCTGTGAATTGTATACATATATTTATCGAGGGAGACAGATAAAGCATTCGTTTCATCAATGTGAGCATATATATATATATACACACATATATATTGAAAAGAGAGTAGATAAAATGATTAAAAACTTATAATCAAAGTAAAGAAGAAGAAAAAAAAAAGAACTAGTAGATAGAAGATAAACAGAATAGGACCTTTTAAAATAAATAATGAACTTACAGCCAGCAGCCAGGCTTCAAAACCTATATGTACATTATATGACATCTTCCTTCTGACTGTCTCTTAACTTGAAGTGAGCCACCATGGAATCCAATTAAGAGTTCTCATTTGAGATTTTTTATAACTTTAATTATTTTTTTTTCATCTGCAACTGAATTGACATTGTGTGTGTTTTATTTTCGTGGGTTGGAGTCTATCAAGGGGGTGTTCGGGAGAAGATTTGTTGGGCATTCCTTGTTTTACAGGGTACGTTTATGTTCTCATCATATGATTCTACTCTGATATAGGCCAGCCAACGGATACTGGAGTGCCTTGGTTGACTTGCAAGGAAGATGATGCACCAGATCCTCTGGTAACTTGTCTTTTCTCTCTTTGCCTATTCACTATCAGGCACCGCTGGTTTTGTGGAATGATTTGTTTGAGACCCTTCAATATTTTGAATGGTGCTGTTTCAATTAATTACTTTCAGCTGTAAAAGGTAGAGTTGGGAATGAATTTATACGCAGAAAATATAAATGAAAATTCAGACTTCTCTCTACTAAATTCTTCTTTTCTCTTAGTCTCCCTAAATTCTAATTCTGCTCTCATCCTCTTTTAAATTCTTTTCTGTTTCTTCTACAGTTCTTCTTCCTTTATTTCTTCACAAGTCAGGGCAGATTCCTAACAGGTGCTTGAATTGGTTGTATTGTGTTTTTTTTTTCTTCTCCTAACATATACCGTAGTTCTACCTTTCTCTTAATATGAATTTTGTAGATAATTTGGATTCTCTAACAAAAACAGATCTGAAAATACTATTAAAATTCCACCTTAACATCTAGGCAGAGAAGAAAAATTGAAAAATAATGCTGAGCCATTCATGAAGTATCCAAGAAAGATTAACTATCACGACCATTGAACAACTGAAAAAATCGAGCCTCTACAAATGAAAGAACTATCAGGTTCACCAAGTTAGCTACTGTAAACTAGAAACATGGTTAGTAGGTGACAAATTGATTGTTTGGATAAAAATATATTTACAAAAGAGAAAGGTTAACTCGTAGTAAAACAAAATAGGTTGCATCTAAAAAATGGGACATCCATCAACGGAGACACCTTTGGCCGTAGGACAAGTAGCCAATGGACAGTGATCTCCCACTTCTAATCCCCACCAATTAACCCCATAAACACCACCAACTCCTAGAGTTAACATTGTTAATGTACCTAAGATAGCAACGCCAATGTCAAGCGCATTTGCCAATACATAATTATAGGTCGACCACCAATTTTTGTACCTCCTGTACACAAAAACGTTGTACAAAATCTCAACTGCAGACCAACTCCAGTAATTTGCAGCAGAAGCCACAGGCCAAAACACCATTGCAGAAACTATATTAGGAACATTGATAGATTTGAGCCATTTCTTTTGAGGGAAAGACTTTAACAAAACCCAAACAAACACAGTTGCAAAGAAACCAAAGAACAGAAACCAATAGAGGTTTGAGTATAAACCATTAGGAAAAAATACACGATTTGGACCAACAACACCCCAGATGACTGTGGAGCCATATATAGCTCTAAAGCCTGGGCATGTCCAAGGACTACCTTTTGGCAATCTTTTAGGATCACAAATGTTCTCAATGCTCGAAAGTATCCACCAACATGTTCCAAGAGAAATAGAAGATGCTAGGAGGGTGCCTGCCAGTTGTGCAACAAACATAGTTTTAGGTGGAATCTTCATGTAATGAGCTAACTTGAGTTCACTAATAAAATTAAGAGCTTGGAATTCATTCTGCAATGTGTAATATTTGAAAACCAAAAGGCCAATTGGTCTGCCAGGGTAGATGTATCCAAAAAGCATTTCCGAACGAATATTTAGCGAAATAAACTGCAAAAGAGTTCAAAAGAAAAAAATTTAACATCATTATTACGTTGGATGTAATTAATTCCATTGTGTGTGTGTGTGTGTATTCAGAACTTAATTATAAGTTACCTGGCCAGTTGTTGCTTGAAGGATACCCAGAGGGAGAAGGAAAATAAATAATAGAGTGCAGGATAACAAAATTCCTCAGTATGGAAGTTGCAGGTCATTCTTATATGTTAGACACGTAAAAATTGCGAGACTTGCCATTGACACCAAGATTGCCAAAAACCACCACTGAGGAACAGAATCATACTTGTTCATTAGCCTATTATCGATATCTCCAGCTCTACTACTATTATTCAGTGCTTGCTTAAATTGCTTCCATGTTTCTCTGTCAGAAACGAATATCAGTATGCTATTAATCTTAGTATAATTAATTGAATAGCTAGATAGCTAGACATGACTAATGATAATTAAACACATAAACAGAATAATGATCAAAATAAGTACCTTCCGTGAAATAGACAAAAATGAGAAAGAGTTGCAAGGGCAAAACCAATGGAGAAGAGATAAACTACACCAAGGTAAATATTGGAGTAGTTCTCGTATTTTTCTTGATTGAATGTTAAGTCTTGCTCATTTATGATTCTCGAGATATTATAAGCTTGACCATTATACTGGTAAAAGGTAGTGCTCGAAAATGGGAATCGCTGTGCGTTGTATAAGTTAAACCAATATGCTAATGGAGTAACAACATAATAGAACAAAATGAATCCAGCCATCATGTTGATGATGGTAGACAAAGGTAAGATTAATGGGTGGCCAATAAATGATATTGAAGCCCAATCCAGAGTGAAAGAACCCATTCCAAATCCATTACGACCAGAGCCAATAAGCTGCGCAATGACTGAATCTTTCCACACCCAACAAACAAAAGAGAGAGCAGCAATTGAAGGGAAAAAGTAGCCTGGGACCATATAATAGGCAAAGCTTATGATACTTGATATAATGAAGAACTGAAACTTTGTCACTCCTCCTTTTGGCCTTACAAATTCCTCGTCTTCTCGCAATGTCCTGGACCACTCCAAACAGCACAAGTCTATTACATTCACATCAATGTGTGTATATATACACACACACACACACGCATACATAATGCAAGTGCATGCATGAATAAGGATGTTATATAGTCAATTACGCACCTGTAGAACGAGACATCGCTTAACACAAAAGGATACCACATGTAAGGAGAATTTACAAGGAGCTTTGAAAATAAACCCGCAAATCCATAACTCATCAACTGTGAGACAATTTGAAGTATTAGTGTTAAAACAAACATGTGGCAAAAACATGCATGATTGATTGAAACTAAAGTTTAGCTAATTAAGTCACTGAGTCACCTGAATCGTTAAAGACATAAAGAGAATGGCGAAGAAACTTGTATTCATATAGTAAAAAAACTTAGTAACTGAAGTAATTTACCAAGAACCAAATCTATAAAATTGAAGGAAAAGAATATTTATCTTCATTCATAAATTTGGTGACCAAAGATTTTTTTTCCGTGTGTAAAAACACGTACGATGGAGAAACCTATAACGGGTATTTATTATTGTTATAACATTATATCATAAAGATTTAGATCGTATTGATTTATAAAGTTATTAATAAAAATATAATATCATAAAATATATCAAAATTTATGTAAAATAAATGTTTGATATACATCCCAAATACACTTTGAAAA